CAATGAACTCCAGAAATCGAAGGGGGACGCTGAGGCCCAGAGAGAGAAGGAGCTATTCAGCATGACCCAGACGGTAGACACCGAGGGCTTCCCTTCCCCTCCTCCACACGGACACGACCTCCTGCTGAGTGGAAAATCCTAGAAAGATGGGCACTTGGCGGCTGACAGTTTAGGCTGCTGGGATCCGGTTCACAGGGTGACTGATGAGGTCCGCGGCGCGGGATGGATGGGCCCCTGGAGGATGGGACTGCGGCCGGGTCTCTGGCGGGCTGGTCGCCTAGCAACAACCTCCAGCTCCACCAATCAGCGCGAGGCGCCGCCGCCGGCCTGCTCCCCGCCCCCCGCATGCTTCCCCTGCAGCTTGAGCGGTGGGCACAGGGGGAGCCGGGGCGCAGCAGCCTCTGCGGAGGCGCCGGCAGGCAGAGCTTTCCCAGGAAAGCCCTGGCAATTCTCCGAATCCCTGCTGGAGCACCCGGGAGTCTGCTGCTCCTACCTGGTCCCTAATTGCAGGCCGAATGGTAGGCTGCATTTTCCTATGGGTGTATCTTGACTACCTGACTCCACTAGGAGAATAGTAACGATCATTGTTATCTCAACAACAGTCGTTTACCCATCAGACTTTCCCATCTATAATCTCAGTTTATCCTCACAGTGACGTCGATTGGAAAACAATTTGGTTTGACGCGGCAGTGTTGCTGCTGGAAGATCCACAGAGACCCCCTAGGGAAACGAGTTTTCAGCCAGGAAGCCTTTCTTTCAAAAGAAATCTTAAATGGAAACTCAATACATACAACGGCTAAAAACTGGGCTGTTCTGGGTTGAAGCCGAGTGGGTTCCTAGACCCTGTCCTATCACCCTACTACACCCGATGAAGGCAGCCCCCCAAAGTACCACCCTGACCGCCTTAGATTCTAGGAGCCTAGGTCAAAAATCCTAATCCAGACTAATTCTCTCATTATACAGGTAAGAAATCCAGCCCAGGATAAAGATTAAGTTCCATAAATACTGGATGGATGGAATAATAAAAGAATAAAGGATGAATACCCTAAGTTGCATGGTCTGTGTTAGCAGAAACAGAACTAGAAGGTATGTGAAAATGCATATTTTTATGCTCTTTTCTGAATGCATTATAGGCTTTAACCAAAAGCAAAATAACTCTGACCTATCTAGCACTTTAAAAAAACACTTTTTTTTTTTTTACAGATAATAACAATCCTCCACACAGACCTTTTTCTAACCCCAAGAGTTTACTAAAAAATTGGCTTTAAAAGTTCAAATTGTCTTATATCAGGTTGCCATGGGAACAGAAATGCCCCCCTGCTGGTTCATCACCTGATTCCCAGCAAGATGTCCCCAGGCCTCTTTTAGGAAAAAAGGTCTTGCTCTCAGGTACAGGGCCAGGGCCTCCCCCTGCCCCTGTGTGCCTCTCCCCCAGAATCCAGGCACAGCCTCCCCAACTTTCCACTGAAGGGTCTTACTGATCACCCTGAAGTAAAATAGGCAGAGAGGGAATGTGTTTAGAAAGATCTCTGGATGCCAGTATGAATCTGGCCCTCACATCATGGGCACAAGGGGGGACAATCAGCTTTGTATCTCATGAATTTTCATAACCAATTAAAAAAAAAATGCCAGTCCCTCTGCATTGGAAAATTAGTCTGGCATTTTTGCAAGGTCAAATTTCCCAGACAAATCTTGTTCAAGTAACAAATACAAACAGCTATTGTCTGCATTGAGTCCAAAATTATTAATTGATCCCTATGACATGACTTACTCTTTAGCCCGTGCCCCTCAAAAAAAATAATTTTTTAGCTATAGGATTTAAGAAAAATGTTTTTTGTTCCTTTAATTAATCATAAGGTAGTTTTAAATTTTTGATTATTTACAGCTTTGTAAACAAGATTATACATAAATTTAATAATAAAGTTTTGAAAAAAATGAAAAAATGAAAAAAAAAAAAGTTCTCTGGAAACTCAATGTTCTCAGAGTGATTTTCTGCTCTTTTCTCTCTGAATATTTTCTCTGGTGGACCGAAAAGACCCTTTGGGAGCCTGCTCTGAGGTAGAAACCAATACTGCCCGTCCTCCGGGCTGTGGCCCATCCTACCCTGCACGTTCTCCCCGCACTACTGAGGGGGCACCTTGAGGCAGCAGCTGTGAACTAGTTACCACCTAGTCTTAAGAGTTGTTTTTTGTGTGTTTTGTGTGTGTGCTCAGTGGACCTCCAGGTGAGCCTCTGCTGTACAGAGAAAAGATCACCTCAGAGCATCTCCTCGTTAGGGATTCTCTCTAATTAGGCACCACTGCAGAGGAATGCCCATGCCTCTCTGCCAAACTGGGTTCCTTCCCTCTTTCAAAACCTTATAATTATGGTTCTTTCTGCTGACTGGAGTTATTTGCTGTCCCAGCTGTCTGAGGCTTCAGTCGGTTGGGTCTGTTACTTGAGTCTCTCTCCGTCTATGTTACATGCATCTGGAAGTCCTCATGAAACTCCAGGGTTCTAGACCCACCCCTGCTGTCTACTGCTCTTAAAAGCTACCACTTTTTTGTATCTCCTTGGTGCTGGCCACTGTGCCATTTAATCCTCAGGACATTCCTCTGAGGTGAGTACTACATTTATCTCCTCTTTACAGATGTGGAAACGAAGCTCACCAGTAACTTGCCCAAGGTCACACAGCTGGAAAACAGCAGGTCTGGCCCCGAAGTCCTTTTTCACCACACAGGCAGTGGTTCTTTCCATTGCAGCTGGCTGCCTCCACCCTTTATCTCTCAGAACCTCCAATTACCAGTGTGAGGCAATGTGATAGGACCAGAAGGTTCCAGAACGCTCTTGGAGGTCTGCTTTTCTACAATTCATTTTAGGCCCTCCTCCTAAGGGTTCAGACGTCCCTGGGAGACAAGAAGACTCTGTAGAATGAAAGAACCCAAATCACATCCTCAAGCGTAGGCTCCCATAGACCCAAATCTCCTTCCTGGGCCAGGTGAGTTTCTCCTCCATTAGTAAACACAAACTGCAAAATCCTACCTTTCTCCCCCCACCCTCCCCACCTTTTATGTTTTACTGTCTCTCTGACTTTATCCTAAAGCCCAGCTTAAGATCTGCCTCCTCCATAAAGCCTTCCCCAATCACGCCCCCTCTCAGCCTGCTCTGCTTCCCCTGAACAATCGACTCTGGCACTTACTCTCTGCACAGTTTGTCTCAGGCTGACCTGAGCCACCACCCTGCCTCTGGCTAGCTGCCCACCTTGAGAAGAGAACCTCTGTGAAGAATACCCTCCTCCCCCATTGTTGCCTAGCTCAGTGTTGAACACTTAGTAGGTGTTCAAGAATGAATAAATGAATTATTTAATGCTCCAAGAGCAGGGACTATTAATTACCGTCTGTTCCCCAGCACTTAATTCAATATCTGGCTATAGGAACTTAGTTTGCTGAAGAAACTAATGATTAATGAGTGAAAATGAATGAGTGAATGAAGAAGGAGACTAAAGAGGGTTTTCTACTCTACTGGCCTGACAGGAATCTTTCCAAGTGGTGCTCAGGAAAGTGGAGTTGTTCGGGGACTCAGCCCGACCTGAGGTCTGATGGGGCAAGCCACACAGCAGTGTGCTCTGTCAAGCCTGCATCTAACCCTTGCTCCCACACTGATGGACACAGGACCCTGGGCTGGGGCAGAGGAGGAGTCTTCCTTACGTGGTGGTTTCACAAGGACAGAGTTGGGTTATCTCAGGATCTGCGGGTCATCTCCTAACTGGAATGGGAGCCAAACAAGTCTGGAGGTTTGTTTACCATTTGTTTGCCTGTAGAATTGGAAATGGAGCTCAACTGTCCTTCCTGAATTTGATCCCAAAGCAAAGCAAAGAAAACAACACCATTTTAAGACCCTTTATGTGAGCTGGTTTAAAAATGGGTCCCCTAAGTGCAATGTGGGATCCTGGATTGGATCTTGGGCCAGGGAAAGGACATTAGTAAAAAAAAAAAACCTGTTGAAATTCTAATAAAGTCTGCAGTATGGTTCATAGTAATATACCAGCGTTGATGTCATAGTGTTGACCAATGTGCCATGGTTATGTACGGTGTTAGCGTTAGGGAAAATTGGGTGAAGGATATGTAGAACTATCCGTACTATCTTTGCAACTTTTCTGCAAATCGAACATTATTCCAAAATAAAAAGTTTGTTATTATTAAATTTAACACAGTGCCTGGTGCTCATCAGGGGCTCAGTTAACCCCTGCTATACTGGGGGCATGGGTTAATGAGTGTCACCTACATGAGTGCTTTCCAAATAGAGGTTTCTACCGTGTGGCCAACACATTCAGAGCTTCTCCAGGTTTTCCATTCAATGTTCTTAAAAGTCAAAAGAATTGTTTGGGGAAAATAAATATCCATTTGGTTGAAGAGGTTTAAACATGTAAAACACAAGCTCCTTTAAGTGAGTTGAAAGATACTAACTCCAACATGGTAGTGGGAGTTAGAACCACACAAGGACATCATTTCTATAGCATTTGATAAAAAGTCCTTCCTGTGTTTATCATGCCATTTGATCTCACTTTCTTAACCAATTGCTTCACCCATGGAGTTTAGCAAGAAAGCTCTCATGTTGCTTGCAAAGCAACTTTTGAAATCTTGATTAGAGAAGATGTAGAATGTAGAAATTTAGACAAATCCCAGTCTTGGCTGTGTTGTACAAACCTGGGGAAATGATCTAATCTCTCTAGGTCCCTGTTTCCTCATTTGTAAAATCAGTATAAATACTGTAGAGTATCTACTTAATAGGGTTATGAGGGGATTAAAGACAGTGTGAAGTACTTAGCACAGTACCTGGCACATTCTAAGTGCTTGGTAAGTGGCTATTATTGGTATGACACTAAGATGTGAATCTGAGCAGAACACATTTTTACAGAAAACACTACCATTTCAGTAAGTATCTCTGGGAATGATTTTAATGAAGACATTTTGATTCTGAAAGTGGGCGACACACACACGTACACGCTCACACACACTCACTCGCACACCTGCAACAGGAAAATCTGCAGGTTCAGAGAACATTGGAGAGACTTCTAGCTCCAGCAATATGGTGGGCTGAGCTAAAGAGGAACCTCTCCAGCTTCAGGAACAACGATAATAACAAAAGCCCAATATAAAATAAAATAAAATAAAATAAAATAAAAGACACACTTGTAAGACATGGTTGTGAAAGAAAGGGAAGAAATGAAGCAGGAACTGAAAGCCAGTGCCCTCAGAAGGAATGCTGAGGATGTGGTGGCCGTGGAGACTGTTGTTAGACCAAAAACTGGCAGGGACAGGGGCTATGGTCTTGGGCTGGGTGGGGGAGGCAGGGGTCGAACTGAGACCTCTGCTTAAAGCCAGGACCCTCCAAAGGCTGCTGGACCATTGAAAGTTGCAAGTGGCTTGTGTCTGCCAAGGGATCTGGGTGAAAAAACACAAAGTCTCCCATAAAAAAATCAAAACCCCAAATTTGTATTACATACAGAGAAATTAACATGAAAATTGGTCCCAAGTTGGTATAACCCTTGGGCGCCTGCCTGGCCAGGGCCAGCAAAAACCAGCTCAGACAAATCCTTCCAATGCCCAGGCCACACAGAATTCCCACAGAAAGAACAAGACCTTGTGCAGATGAGCTCACATTACAATGTTAAAAACAATAGTTGGACCGGGTTGGGTTCCAGTTGTCTTGATTTATTTTAATAAGTTCTCTAGGACATTCTTCAGTTAGGTTTGAAAAATGCTGCTTCACCTATGCTTTTCTATTTCAAGATAATTTTCTTTCTACTTATTCAGCCATTCATTCCACATTCACTCATCAAAGACTTATTCTAAGCCAGGCACTGTGCCAGGAACACATCCATGACTTCTGTCCCTCACTGTAATGTCTGAGCCATGTGCTACCACCCCAATTTCCAGATGGGAAATCCAAGGTGAGGCAGGTCCCTGGCCGGCCCTCTTCCTTCCTGGGAAATGTGCTCTCCACCAATCCTGGCAGCATCTCAGTCCTCAACTGAGTGATAAATCAAGTGGACAGGTGACCAAAGCCAAGGTTCTTACAGAGGTAGCCTAGTCTTCCCAGTGTCAGCCCTGGAAGCCCCAGTGGGCCTGCTGCTGCCCAGAACATACTTTGAGCCACCTGCCAATGAATGTGACTTCAGCCACCCTTGGCTCCAAGGCCCAGGAGGCCTTCAGTCGCTGGATGGCAGGAGCTGGGCCCAGCAATGGGAGGCAGATCAAGACACTGCTGGTGTCCTGTTTCCAGGGAGGAGTTGTGCTGCGTTCCGTTGTGCCCACATTTGTGGCCAGGTCCCTCTGGCCCTCACGTGTGCTTTACAAGGTCCATTGGAAGCCCATTTTCTGTCCAGAGGGACAAGCTGCGCCCCTTTCTGAGAATGCAGGAACATTTGTTCTGCAGGGCTGTTGCACCTGCTGGCCTCTCGGCCTGGAACATTCTTCCCTCAAGGCGCATGCGGCTCCCTCCATGCTTCATCATCCTCAGAGAGACCTTCCCTGACCAGCCCTCCTAAAACTGCACCCTTGCACCCTCCCACCCTTACCCTGCTCTGTTTTCTCCTTTGAGCACATGCAGACATTTTTTTGCATGCTCAGTCATTTACAGTTTGATCTTACCAGGAGAACTTCAGCTTCCCAAGGGCAGACATCCACCTGTTCTGTTCAATGCCAGATATCCAGCACCCAGAACAAAGGATGGATGAATGCTCTATCTCATCCTTGTAATTCAGCCAGAATCTTCTCCTCAATCTCTTTGTCTGCACCATGAGGGGACTAGGCTCAAACAGTGGTTTTCAAACTTAACAAAAAATTGCCGGAGGATTATTGTTAAATGAAACTTTAGAAAGACTCCCCATGTATAAGACGGATGACAGCTGGGCAGGACTAGCTGAAGGGGGGCTTCAGGTTTGTCTCCCGCTGCCTTCCTTCCCCATCCGCAGAACCCTTGGCTCCTTAGAACACAGTTCAGAAACCACTGGCCTAAGTGAGGTCCACTCCCAACTAGTCATTTCCTCTCCTGGGGTCTAACTACAACCGTCTGTAAAATGAGGGAGCTGGACTCATTGACCTTCCTTCCTTCTATGACCTTCTAGTATCATACGTCACATCCATAATTGCAGAAAATTATTCAAGAGCCAGGTAAACCCCCAAATAGAAACTCTAAGGACAGGGGGAGGGAGAGAGATTGGACAAGGGGCATAAAGAATAATTATGAATTGTAATAACATATATGCTAGTAATATTGATTTGATCAACATATCTCAATGTTTATCCCCCAAAATATGTATAATCAATTTTGATTCAATAAAAATTTTTTTAAAAAAAAGAAATTCTAAGGACAACATTCAGGGTCATGCCTACCAATAGCCAGCTGTCATCAGGAGTTTATCGAGGACCTTTTGTTTAATGAGCAGTTGGTGGGAGGCATGGAACCTACAAGATCCCAGATTGCTCAACCAATCTTGTTGACAAAACGCATCACAACATCTGAAACAATGAAAACAGTACATCAAGTGCTGGAATAGGTGGACAGATTCTATGGCCAAAGTAGACATCATGGAAAGTAGAGATTGAGTGGGGTGACATGGGATGGTATCTTGGGAGGAGGTTATATCTCTGGAGAGGAGAACAGAGGTCATTCTAGGCAGAGGCACAAGGAAGCCACGGGGCACTGCCCGAGGCCCCTGAAGGACCAAGGCACTCATGCCACCAGCTGCAAGGAGGAGCTGAGCTCCTCCCCAGCCAACAGCTTGGACTCACCCTTGTGATTCTGAAGTCGTGCTCTTGGTCCTAGGCAGGAGACAGAGTTTCTCCATCATGCTCATATCACCAATGTGGTTACTGTGGCAGAGACTGCTCACCGTCCCCAGTATCCATTCTCCCTTCTGCCTTAGTAATTGAACGTCTAATTTTTAGCAGGACACAAGGCCTCCCAAGATAAAGTCTATGTTTCCCAGCCTCCCTTGCAGACAGGTGTGACCATGGACGTGAGCTGACAGGATGTGTGTCACCTCCACTTCATGCCCTTACAGAGAAGAGGTGTACCCTCCCCTTTCCCCTCTCCCACTAGCTGGAAGGCAGACATGGCGGGGAGCCCTCCCAGACCACAAGAAAAGGCAATGCCTGTGAGCAACACGGGGGTCCCAACACGGTGCAGCCATTGCACCAGCCTTAGAGGACAGAGGACAAAAGCTACAGGAGCAGGGACACTCATCTGTCTTAGCTAAGCCTCTGTTATCGTGACAGACAGAACTCTACCAGCAATGCCTTGGGTCTGAGTAACACTTGAGAGCTTCCAAAGCACATTCGTCAGGACACGACTGATTGCTGGGGCGAGGCCGTGAGGAGGGGAGCAGGGTCTCCTCCCGCTGTGCGGTAGCTAAGCTGAGGCTTGGTGAGGAGGGCTTGTCTGGGTCACTCACTGCTGAGTGGACTCCAGGCACTAGAGGGAAGGGGATGGGGAGAGAGTAGGGATGTTGGGGAAAGACCAGTTTTGGTTTGAACTCTAACCACCCTCCTTTCCAAACCCCACCCTGAAAGACCATGTGAGAATAATGCATGTGGACGGTTAGGCACATGATCTGATTGTGGGAAAATTCTGTAGCTTTTGTTCTCAGAGTCCAGAGAGCTGGGTTTCCAGTCAGTGCTCTTCCCATGGGGACTCTGGTCTCTGAGGCCAGCGCTACCTACCCTAGCAGGTTGTGGAGCACGGAGGATTAAGTGCCTGGTGGCAATCAGGGAAGACTCTCAGAGGAGGTGACATCTGTGGCCAGCCTTGGTGGATGGAGAGTCAGAGCATAGGTAGAGGAGGATGGCACCCCTGGGAGAGGGGACAGCTTGGGCAGAGGCAGAGAGATGTGGCCCATCCTGAGACTACTGCAGAAGGGAGAAGCGCTCCAGGTCTCAGCACTAATCCTCAGCCCCGCTTCCTTCTGGACTTCACATCTTTTAAGACTTAATTTTGTGGTTTGGGTGTTTGGGGCGGAGGGGATGGTGTTGGCATTGTTGAAAGGGTGGGGTGAGGGCTGGCCCTGTGGCTCACTCAGGAGAGTGTGGCGCTGCTAGCGCCAAGGCCGTGGGTTCGGATCCTATATAGGGATGGCCAGTGCACTCACTGGCTGAGCGTGGTGCAGACGACACCAAGCTAAGGGTTAAAATCCCCTTACCGGTTAGAAAAAAAAAAAAAAAAAGGGGGGGATGAGAGGTATTGGAAAACAATTATTTTCAGAGGATAAGACAAGGTCCCAGGAGGAGCTCAGCTAACAGCTCAGTTCTGTCCCTCCCCTCACCCAGCACGGGAGCTGCCCCTGAAGCAGGTGTTCCCAGCTCTGTTCCGTGTTGTGATGAGATTGCCAGCCTGTGCTCCCCTCAGCTTCTCCTCAGACACGTTGTCCTTATTGTAGAGAGCCAGGTGCTTTACAACACCATGGCAAAAGCCAAGCCAAGTGAAGGGGATATACGACTGTTATGTGAGTTTTAAATTATTTCCAAATAAAAATTATTTTAAAAGCACAGCAACGGGCCGGCCCGGTGGCGCACTGGATAGTGCGCCGCTTGGGAAGCACAGCGGCGCTCCCGCCCGAGGGTTCGGATCCCACATACAGACCGGTTCCTGCTCACTGGCTGAGCGAGGCGCGGGAGCAACACCGAGGCATGCGAACCCGTTGCCGGACACAGGAACGGTAAGG